CCCTGCCTTCAGGGGTGTTGCAGCTACTGCTTTCATGATCGCATCCCTAACATGCCTCTTTGACAACTTTACTACAATTTCCCCAGGCAGATTATTTTTCTTTATATATCCAGAATATGACCTGAAGGCCACATCCATGTCATTGAGTAATTCTTCCGCTTTTAAATCTGCTACTGGGGCAAGTAGTTCGCTCATAAGTTCTTTCACATTTTCTCCTCTATTTTCTGGCACCCCCTGGAAACGCAGGACCATATTGGCTTTATCCATTTGTACTTGCAGCATCTGCTCTTCCAAAGAAAATGTTTTCTTTTCCAAGGTTTGCACTTTCTTCTTCACCTTCTGTGTTGTTTCTGTCACTTCCTTCACTTTCTCAGCATCTTTTTTCATTTCTTGGATCGAGTCTGTAATTTGCTTTTGTTGTAAAGCAATGCTTTGTGTTACTCCTGTCAGTTGATCTCTGATGTTATTCAACTGCTCCAGCAGAGGGTGCATGCCTTCAGCTACAGCCTTTGCCGTCTCGCTGGCTGCTACTTCCGGCTTTGGGGACTCTAGTTTCGATTTCACCAGTCTTTCTTTGTCTTTGTCCCTCTTCCCTGCCATCTTTCCCGTTTATTTACTTTTGGGAAGTTTTTCAAAGTCTCTGAATGTGCGCTTAGCTGCTTAACTTCGATTGGGTAAGTACTTCTGAGCGATCAATTACATTTTCTCTTCTGCTCCCCCCCTTTCTCTCGCCGTTTCAAATGCATGGGAGGCGTTCCCCCCCGCCCGCTTTTCTCGTCCCGCCGTCTTTTCATTCAAAAATCATTTCAAAATAGACTCATGTTCATTATAGGTCTTCCGACCCTGCTTTCTTCAGCATTTTTAGCGCTGGATCTCCTGCACTTGCTCCGGTTAGCCTCACTTGCACCTTATCGGTCTCTCAGCTGGAAGAACCACTGGAGTGGAGGGGAGCCTTGATTCTCTGGCATTCCACCATTGAAGAGGCTACCCCTCAAAGCTCCTTGGCCAGGCCCCCTTCACCGGACGCCTGGGGGGGGAGGTTACGAGCCTGCTCGCCCCCTCCTTCCGCTAGAGCACGGAGACACCCCCAGGAGGTCCGGGAGGTGAGTCCGTGAGCGTGCCGCCATCAACTGGAAGTCTATATCAACAGGAATCATCTCTTGTTTACTTTGGCAATAGTCAAAGTTACCCCAAATAATAATGGAGCTACCTTAGCCTTAAATGCTTGAATGGCAGCTGGCAAATAATTGCCTCCTGGTGTCTGGAAAAATCTCAGGAGGGCTGCTGAATCTCCAGATGCTAATTTCATGATGACAGTCACATGGCCTGTCCATGACATATTGTAAGAGAAAAGAACAATCTTTCTTTCAAAAGACTCTTGTGCCTTTGCTAAGAGGTGCAAAAGACAGATGTTGTTTTTCCAGTGTGTGTATCTTATCAATCACATCTTTATCCTGCCCTTCCTTAAGGAGTTCAGCATGGCATAAATTGGTTCCTCTCCCTTTCTGAGCAGGATTGGTGTAAGGTCACCCAGTGAACTTTATGGCAGAGTGGGGATTTAAAGCTGTCCATAGTCTAGCTCCCTAATCATTATATTGCACAGATTCTCAGTGCCAGGGCTATTTTTGGGCCAGAAAGCACCGGAACGGTGTTCCGGCTGGTGTCCAAGCCCGCCCCAGCCCCTCCCTCGCCACAGCCCCCCAGTCACTGGCGCACCATTCTCAGCTGCATCGTGCCTCCTCTTCCCTCTATGTCACAGCAGTCCACGGCGGGGCTCTCTCTGGGAAGGCGTGGGCAGGGAGGGCGGCTTCCTGGCAGAGCGAGCAGGCAGGCAGGTAAGTGGTGGGAACCCGAAGCACTGGAGTTCAGCCCCGAAGACAACATTGCCGGAAGGTGGCAAGAAGCACACTGTGCTCCCGACCTCTCCACACCAAGAACGCCCCATGCACCCTCCTCGCCGAGATGCACATGGCACACAGCCTGGGTCTTGCCCGTTTCAGTCAAGGGCCCACCAGCCTGCCCTGCTGCGGTCCCTTCCACCTCTCCTTTCTCCAGCATCCCCCTCCCACTTCTTTCACAGGCGCTCTGGGGGCAGAACCACGGCTTCTCTCCACCCCGTCCTGAGAGCAGCCTGGGAGGTGTAGTATTAGGCCACTGCCTTCCTTCCCTCCACCAGCCAAGGCAAAACGCGCCAGTCCTAGCCCTGTGTGCCTGCCTGCAGAGGGGGAGACCACCCGCTGCCCGCTTCAGCCTTGTGGCCAGGCAGGCAGGCTTCTCCCTGGCGCTTTTCACATTGTGGCTCCCTCCTCGGTGCCTGCGCACCCCTTTCTTCCCTCACGGAGCATTGAGGCAAAGCACGCCTCTTTTGGGCTCCGGAAAGGGTCGCTTCGCTGCTTGCCTTCCCTTTCCTCCCCTCCTCGGCGGCAGAATGCAGAGTCATCCACGGCCGCTGGAGTCAACGGCGTGAAGTGCCCTGACTGCAGCGGCAGCTGCTGCCTGGTGGAGGGGAGGTGATTGCACCTTGCTCTCGATTCCTGCCTTTGGTACACCAAAGAGGGAAGGGGTGGTAGTGGAGGGGAGAACATCTGAACAGTTTATAGCATGCATATTTCTAGAGGAGAAGGTGCACTAGTTTATTGTAGCAAAATAAAACAAATCCAGTGGCACCTTCAAGACTAACATTGATTCCAGTCAGAGCTTCAGATGTTACAGAAATTATTTTCCACATTTTTATAAGGAAAATTACAGAAGTGAAGGAGGGAAATTGAGGAGTTAGGGACAGAGAGAGGTTTGGTGTGAATCCCATCATAAATCTTTCAACACATCAATGATTTGTGCTCATGGTAGCCAATTCACATGTTTTGTTCCACGGAGGAGAATTCATGAAAGTTTCTAAAGTAATTGCATGCATTGGCTCATTAGGTTGTAGGAGCACATCTCATAAACTAACTTACACCTGGTTTTTGGTAGCACAATCCTGAGTTTCTGTTAAGAATAGTTCAAACATGACATAGTTTTTTATATGAGTAGCAATAGTATCTCAAGTAGGCACAAGTGTTTTTTTCTCGTGGTAAACCCACACATCAGGAAATGGCATATAAGTAAAGATGCACTATGTGAAGCCCTAAACTTTTTGATTGTGGGAGTTCCCTTTCTTCTGTATGTCTTCCTGCCCTTTGCATTAAATTAACACATGCCCAGACTCTGAGTGGGCAGGAAGGATAATAATTTATTCACATTGCTTCCAGTGTTTAAAAAAAGCCTGAAATGGAGTTTAATTAAAGTTGGGCAAAGACGCTGGATGAATTCTTTCAGAGTTATCTGATATGTGGGGCTTTCAAACTGTAGAAAGAAAGGGCTGAGAGAAGACCCAAAACCTGTTGGAGGCAATGGAAGTTAATGCTGCAATCGATAGGCACCCTTGCTTGGAAGTGAACCACTTTGGGCGGTGGAAGAAAGATGGGATGTATCCCCTGTTGGTGGACTGAGGGGGGGAATGGTGAGGAGGATGTTAGATCTCCTGACAAAAATATGTAATCTTTTCTTAAAATCTGCCTCCATTCCTGAGGACTGGAAGGTAGCTAATGTCACTCCCATCTTTAAAAAGGGTTCCAGAGGAGATCTGGGAAATTACAGGCCAGTCAGTCTGACATCGATACTGGGTAAGTTGGTAGAAACTGTTATTAAGGAAAGAACAAAACCTATTGAGGAAGACTCAGCATGGGTTCTGTAAGGAAAGATCTTGTCTCACTAACCTGTTAGTGTTTTTTGAGAGA